GGAGTAGGTGAGAGAAGACCCTAGAAAACAATCTCAGTTGCCAAATAAAGAATGAGAACTATTAGGAAAACTATGACACCAAGCAAAGGTAGCAAATGGACAGGGAAAAATCAATTTTTTATGTTATCATGGGGTGGTTATTAACTTTGCAGAAGTTAATAGCAAAGTAGTTAAATAAGTTTGAAGCTTTTCATCTCTCTTGATATTACAAAAATAAGCCAAATGAAGTAGTTAGATTTGAATTTCAGTGACTATTTTTATGTGAAGCTTTTCCTATTCTTTCCTGTAGAAGTTGTAAAAGATTGGTTTGACTTGATGATCTGTATTTCTTTTCTCCTGTAAAAGAATTGCCATTGTACCTGATTTTAGAAGAGAAATAAAACAATTTAGGTTTTTAAAAAAAGTATTACCAAATTAAAAAGAAGCTGTGAGGTAGCCTGATTAGCAGGAGAATATCTGAACTTAACTGATAACATTTAAAATTTATCCAGGCATTTGTATATAGCTAACAGATGTTAGCAAGGACAGGTGGTCTTCTGTGCTCTTTGTAATACACCAGATTTCTATCCATTCTGAGGATTAATGCTAAAATAGCAAACCACTGATGAGACTGCAGTAAATAACAAAGTTGATAGATTACATTGCAGGCTTAAAAACAGCCACTAATTTCCTTACCTGTACTTCATTAAAAACTGTTTCCATGCACTCATTTCTGAAAGCTTTTATGAAGTTGATATTTTATTTCCTCTAAAAGATTATTATAAGTATGCGTGTGTGTCCATGGCCTAGAAAATATTTTTATTTGCTAAGCTGTCACAGCAACTGCACACTGTTCTGTGCCTCATTCAGTGGGAAAGCAGTTGGGGAGAGATTACTAATGCTGGCATCCGTCTGTCTTGAGAGACAGTGGCCATCAGGAGTGCTATCCAGGGGGTAAAGTCAAACTGCTGGAGAGTTACAATGCCTGCTGTGGCAGTAGAGACCAATATAGGAGAGACATGTTTTATTGCAGCTGGGGCAGGTGAAGGTGCCTGGTTTTGCTGTTACAGGTACACCATGGTGTTTCTTCTCTCTGTGCTCCTCCCAGCGGTTTAGATCACTAAATGCTCATTAGCAAGAATGTTTATTCATTTGAGTCCTAGGCTGAACGTTCCCCAAGGAGATCTTTCAGCCACATTTGGGAAGTGGGAAATTACTTCATTATGTTTGCATTTGGCTGCCTTGTGGAGGGTAGCAAAATGGCACTATTGCTCTGTCTAGCAATGTGGAGTCACACAAAGTGGGTTCTTGGGGACCAGTGCCATCCTCCCTTCTGAAACATACACCACCAGTTATCTGTTGATGACCATTGAAAGGGGGTGCTGCTTGCGCCCCCACCACTGCTAAGCCCTTCCCTGTATCTTTTAAACTTAACTCATTTCCTGCCTGGGGCCAAAATATTCCTGCCTCATTTTTGCTAGCTGTCAGCAGGGCGCTTAAAATGTTTGTGCGTATTGGGAGGTGAGAGATTTAACAAGCCTAATTGATTTACCAAGAGCTCCATATCAATCAGCTCCATGCTGATTCAAGGGTAGTCATAAGCCTGAACAGAACTTCTCCATATCGATAAGTTCTGGTCAGGCTTATGGCTACACTCTCATAACATGCAGTCCTTTCCCCCAATCTCTCCCCACCTTCCCCCAATTTCTGTGGCAGCTATTTGACTCAAGAAACAGACAGGGCCATTTAACAAGCATCACAGTTGCTTCTCTGGTTGAAGCGGAGAGAAAGTGCGTGGCTGCCTCTTCCTACGACTTGAGCAATCTCAAAGCTGTGGCAAAAAGTGAGGTCCTACACATGGTTCTGCTATTTTTTAATCACAGAATTGTAGTTGGAAGGGACCATGCGGGTCATCTAGTTCAACCCTCTGCAATGCAGGAATCTCAACTAAAGCATCCATGACAGATGGCCATCCAACCTCTGCATAAAAACCTCCAATGTGCATCTGTGTATATCATGGGATTTTTGACTGCATGGACTTTATGTGTGGTCCAATTCACATAGACACACCAGGCTGAATGAATCCTTCCTGCACTGGTGTTATCTGGTGTTGTTACAATTGCAACGCAAAATATCTCAGAGGTGTTATGGGTCCAGTCATGTATACAGTGGTACCTCGGGTTACATACGCTTCAGGTTGCATACGCTTCAGGTTACACACTCCGCTAACCCAGAAATAGTGCTTCGGGTTAAGAACTTTGCTTCAGGATAAGAACAGAAATCGTGCTCCGGCAGCACAGCAGCAGCGGGAGGCCCCATTAGCTAAAGTGGTGCTTCAGGTTAAGAACAATTTCAGGTTAAGTACGGACCTCCGGAACGAATTAAGTACTTAACCTGGTACTACTGTATCTTACATATCCACCAAGAGAGAGCCAGGGAATGGATGCATTCAAGCTTAAATGACAAACAATAACAAAAGCCAGTATACTGTACTTTTGCTTTGATTACTTATTACCTCATAATAGTGATGTCAGTGCTATCAGCTCAGCTCAGTCACCTCTCCTCCTTTTCTTGAAGTAGAGATGTGTGTGTCTTTACTACACATTCCTAATACAGAGACTTGTTTCATTGCATTGAGTGATTCCACTATGTGGAATCAGTGACTCAGTAATATTTTTAATCTATTCTAAAACTACCTTATCATTTAAATAGATGGATTAAAGCTTTTTAAAGCAGCTGTTCATGGTAGACTCAACAATTGCCTTGTATTTTGACATTTCCAGAGATTCGGAGTACAGACAACTTTGTTGTCCACCTGTCATCTTTCTCTAACTTATACAGTGTCCGTTAATTCAGTCAGAGAAACTTGCCTCCTGCACTCTAAACAGTCTTTCTACTGAACGTGATAGGCCTGTTCTCATTTTTCCACCATCTTTGAGTGGTTGCCCTTTGGCTGCTGTCAAAAGATGAACAGTCGTCTCCAAAGCATGAGAAGCAGCTATGTATTTTAGATCTCCAAATACAACCAGAGGCTGGATTGAATGCTGTATCATAACCAGTCGCTTCCCTAATGTTTCTCAAAACTAATTTCTATTATGGTGTAGTGCTAGGACAGTTCCAAAAATCATTAAAGCAAATTAGCTACAATTTTGTCCATCTCCAACTTATCCCATATCCCAACCGAAGACAGAATCAGTAATGGGTTTTCCTGAGATTTGTACAGTGTGTTAACCATGTAGCCATCATCAGACCCAAGCATTGGTTGCACAGCAATACATGCTTGCTGAGGAATAGCCACACATGTTCTGAATCTAGAGGAGCCAACTTTCATCCACTGCCCGTAGCTATCTCTTAAACAGCAAGTTGATCTGCAGCAATTAAACAGGTAATAATGTATAGCTCCATGTCATTAAAAAAATTGCCTGCTCTTTTCAATATACCAAACCTATCTTAAAGGCACAGGGGCAAACCAGGCTAATTTATTTCTGGCTGGCTGGCAGCTCTTTCTGTTAGGTAGGGGAAGAGAAAATGGTTTAACCTGTCCTCCCTAAATGTGATCTTTCCCAAAAAATAAGGTATATGGTTTCTAAATTGAACACCTTTGCAATTAGAACATAAATAAAAGATAAAAGAAAAAGTATGTATATCTCTACAATTTATTTATTATGTTCTAAAAAACGAAATGAAATGAAATGTAACTACTTTGATCACAAAAGCAAAATGAGATCTACTAACAATATAAGTTAGAGCTAACCCAAAACTGTTTGTATTAGAATTTTTGAATGATTTTGAGAGGAGGTGGGGCAGAGAAGGTGATAATTACTTTTTTTTTTTGGTATTTTCTAGGGCAGAGTAAACATTTTGTGGGAAATATTTACAGGCACTCACATGGCCTCCATTCAGCTTGCTACCACTTGTCTTTTTTCTTGCCCAAATGCCTCTGAGCAGCGTTTCAGCCACTGCAAAAGCAGCTGTGTAAAGTGGAAGCAGATTCCAACTCAAACCTAGTAGCAGCATAAGAAAGAATGCAGGAAGCCCAAGCCTCTCTGAAAGCCTGGCAAAAAGGCCACCATGTTCGCCATTCACCTGGTCACCCCAGTAAAGCAAGCTGTGTCATAATTTCTTATGCTTCCAGCTGGGTCAACTGGAGGTAGCCTCCCCAAATGATCTTTATTCAGCCCACGTTCTGCTGTTTTGAATAGTATACCATCCCATGCAACCAGAATGCCGGGTTTTCAGACATCAGCAGCCAACGCCACACCCCTTTTCATACTAAGGATCCCTTAATGACCATTCTCTTAGCAGTAGCATTGCCTTTAGTGTCAGAAATATACCAGAAAATAGTGGCTTTGGTTGCTGATACACACCCAAATTGCAGCTTTTCAAGTGGGCATATAAACGCAATGGCACCAAATGCTTGGCACTGAACAATGAGTCACTTTGTAGGCCTGTGTCTCTGATGCAGTTACGTAAGGGAGCCATTTGAGAATTTTAAAAACCTTGGAACAGCTCAGAAATCAAATTCTGCATCTTCCAATTTCATGTGAATCTAGCTCAGGGGCAGCCAACCTGGCGACCTTCAGAAGTTGTTGGACTACAGTTCCCATAAACCTTAAGCATTAGCCATCTTGGCGACAGCTAATGAATGTTGCAGTCAGGGCCGGCCCACCAATGAGGCAAGTTGAGACAACCACCTCAGGCGGCAGGATGCACAAGGACATCCGATCCCAATGCAGATCTTTATTCCCCGCCTTGTTCCCGATGTAGATCTTCACTCACCCATTCTTCCCTGGAGGGGAGGGGAGGCACCATTTTGTGGCCTGCCTCAGGTGCTAAAATGTCTTGGGCCAGACCTGGTTGTAGTCCAACAGAATTTGAATGGTATTCCATGGTTATAGCTGATATCAGCAAGACGGTGCTGTTTTGATTAGACATCACCAACATACTTGTGTGTCAATCGTTGTAGCTTGACTCTGCTATATTTTTCCCTCTCATTTCCTTATCTTATACATGTTTCCCAGGATAGCCCTCTGGTCTTACAGTCTGACAGGAATGTAACAGTGAATGCAAGAAACCACATGGGACAGTTAACGGGACAGCTGACTGTAGGTAAGTCTTATTCTCTAATGAAGCTTTTGTGTATCATGTTAACATTGCAGACACCATTTCTTTTAAATATAGTGTGCAGCAGAAAGGATGCAGGAAAGGATTAACCAAGTTCAGTGCACTCTAAATGTCCTTAGCTGCAATTTTAGCAGAATTTAGCTCTGCAATGGTAATTCGATAAAAAAGATAATCTATCCCAACAAATAATTGATCGGATAAAATGAGGATTAACCCTATTAGAAAATCTTATTGCACTTCAGCCTTTTCACAGGCACATTAATCTAGAATTCTTCTAGCCTTTTAGTAAAGTGAGTTATAATTTTCATCCAACAGCAATGGTACAAAATGTGTGGGAATTATTTGCTAATATCAGAGGATTTTCTTTTATGATTATGAAGACAAAACTCACTGCCTCTTCAAGAAAGAGGGAAAACATTCTGAACACAGTCTCAGTAAGATACTGGGGAGGATAGGAAACCTTTGGAATGTATTTCCGCATATAGTGGGAATGTTGTTCAGAAATATAAGCATTTACTTTTAGACATCATGTGTTGTATTGCAGAGTGTGCATTGGAATGCATGTAAATATATGTGGGTGTGTAATAACAGGATTTCCAAATCAGAAAGCTTGTTTCCCTCTCCAATTTTATTAATTATAGCCAAAATAATTAGCGCAGTGCTGGAGATGAGAGCCACAGTGTCACTGTAACAGTGGTTCTGCCACTTTTGGGATATATTAGTGGCTGAGAAAATAGCTTGGCTCTTTGAATGACAAATGATCAAGTGATCAGATATCAGGTGATGTCTGTGCCTATGTCAATCTGCCTCATTATCCTCTGTTGGTTTGGAGTGCTCTTTGTTCTTCTTCATTTATAGTTACGTTTTATAATGCTTAGTTAGTATGGAACTTTAACAGGTCTTCCCCCTCCCCAAAAAAGAGATACAGATTTTTTTTTAGTAAGAAGAATCTTTCAATTCTGCAGAAAAACACATAGAAAACCTTTACTGCATATTTAAATAATGACGTCTCTTGTGAGCATATGCCATGCAGTATGTTAGGTTTTTATTAATGTTCAGGGAGAAATTCTATGGTTCAGAATGATTTCTATCATAAATCATCCTCTGATGTCAGGTACTGTTCTTCTTTACAATTCTGTCATTCCCAGTTGTCCCAATTCAGTTGCTATCATTGAAGTGGCTTTATTGTAATGTCATCTCAAATATTTTTTAGTGGTCACTTTACATATTAAAAGGATTGCAATATTTAGTTGATTAATCTGTTAGATTAATCAACTAAAATCTCTTAAGAGGCAATACATTTCTGTGTGTTTCAAATAATGTCAACTATTTTAAAACAAGTACTTGTAAAAAACTTCAAGTGGTAAATATAAACTTAGAAGCAAAGTGCAACATTTGTGTTCATCACCTTAAAAGCAAAGACAGTGCCCTTTCCCCCCTGTTCTTCAGAATTATTATTTTGTTCGTATGGAAACACCTGCAGATTTAATTGGTTGAAACTTATATCAAGTAGCATTTCTAAAGCAGCAAATCTAATTGATACCAAAAGATCCATCACTAGACTGATGGTTTTTGACCGGTGAGTTTTGAAAATTACAACAAATAATCATGTTCTATAAGCGATCTCCTAAATCCAAAAACCTTAGCCAGTTAATGAGCAGAGAAGACACTGCCCACTTTTGAAAGGCTACGCAAGTAAACATCTTAGTTTCTCTGATCATCTCTGTTAGCTTTTGACTCCTGCTGCCAGACATAAGAGGTCCTGGGGAGGGTGTTTATAAACCTCTTTTCCTTCAGATCTTCCCATGGCCACTCAAGAAAATGACTTAAGACCCTACCTTGAAAAAATGCCAGTATACTATAGGACTGTAGCAAGACCTTAATCCTACTCTCTTGATTATCCTTTTCTTTTCCAATGGGTTTTTTTTAATTGAGGGGTGTGTTTCTCACTGTTCATTATCTTGTTTTCTGCAAAAGCATTTTTGAGTACATATAATGTACATATTGGGAGGCGGGTGGCGCTGTGGGTAAAACCTCAGCGCCTAGGACTTGCCGATCGCATGGTCGGCAGTTCGAATCCCCGTGGTGGGGTGCGCTCCCGTCGTTCGGTCCCAGCACCTGCCAACCTAGCAGTTCGAAAGCACCCCCGGGTGCAAGTAGATAAATAGGGACCACTTACTAGCGGGAAGGTAAACGGCGTTCCGTGTGCTGCGCTGGCTCGCCAGATGCAGCTTGTCACGCTGGCCACGTGACCCGGAAGTGTCTGCGGACAGCGCTGGCTCCCAGCCTATAGAGTGAGATGAGCGCACAACCCTAGAGTCTGTCAAGACTGGCCCATATGGGCAGGGGTACCTTTACCTTTTAATGTACATATAATATACATTTAAGATTAAGGGGGGAAGGCCTTCTCGGGTAGGAGGTCTGGAGCTTGCTACCTCTCTCTTTTTTAGAAATGAATTGCTGAGCTTTCCCCCCTTCATCTGATGAAGGGATTGTTGTTTCGTTCATATAGTTATTCTACCTGAGGCATGGCAGTGTAATATGCAAAGACACAGCATCTGTGATGATTGCCCTAAACGGTTGTGTCAAAGGCAGCCAGGCATGGTGGCAGATACAAATGGATGCAAATTAAGCCAGCACCTTTCCTAGCCATTTTGCACTCGCTGCTTCTGGTAAATACATTATTTAAACATTTAGCTCTAGCGGTATTTAAAGTTAGGTTTCTTCTGACACTCTGTTGAATTCAGTATAGGGAAGCAATCTGAAACTCAGATTGAAGGAATGGCAATTTGTTGAGTTTTACCCTGTAACTGTGACTAAATGGGTGCGAGAGCACCGTCCAGTCGGCTTGACAATACAGTGTTTGCACTTAATCCTCTAAATAGTTCAGATGCTTTAAAGCAACACATGTTCTCTTGTTAGTCATTACTGCAAACACCTGTGAACTATTTAATTAGCCATCGCAGTTGGTGCAGATTGTCGGAGGAGTCTACTGATTAAAATGTATCATAGTTATGTTCCATTTCACTTCTCTTGCTTTCTAATCCTGGTGAAATCTCTGCAGGGTCAGTTTACTTTTCAATAGTATCAAGCCCTCAAAGTTACCTCAGTCATCAGTGCAATCTGGCTTTGGGGAGGTATGCAGGCATCTGTAGACACCCTCTAAAACTCGGAGCAATCGGATTGCAGTTGCCAAGGCTCCTGGGATTTCTTGCTGGTTTTGCACCATTTTTGCAGTTTTTCTGCTCTTTTGGGGGCTGGACAGTTGTTGCATTTGTTTTGCGTTTTTCACACTATTTTTCAGTTTAAATCACGTTATTTAATTTCCCCTCAGCACCACACATATACACAGTTGTGCACGAGTTGAACGCAGCTAAGTGAGGAGATGCCTGAACATAGGAACACCTGCAATTTCCACAGCATGTTGGGAATGTTCAGAGCACTTTGTATAGTGCATGTACTAAGTCACAAGGGGACCTGCACCAAAACAGTGCAGTGAGACATACTCTTCTTCAGTATGCGAGCCAGCCAGTCATGTATTCTGTATGGATACTGTTATGTACTGAAGTTCTCACCCTGGGCCAGCAGGGGGATACTGTAGATAGTTATGCAAATGAAGGATCGAAAGTGACGTTCAGTGATTGGATAGTTTTAGAAAGTTGCAACAGTTACAATTGCTCTGGAGCTCTATATAAGCAGGCTGACTGAGCTCCTCAGTTCAGTTCTGGCATCAGAATAAAGAAGAGCTGTTTGAAGAATCACTGTGTCATCTGATATGTTCGCCCACAACTTAACAGATACCCCATTCCATTCTTTCCCCACCCTATTTTCTGTTGTCCTGCCCCACCTCCTGCCAATCAACTTACTGTGCCCACTGAACATTTTCAGTCATCATTCGGCTGGGTTTTTTGGGAGGAGGTTTGTTCTTAATATATTTTTGTTCCCCCATACCTCCCACATGTGCTTGGATGCTGCTGTTTGTGATACATAAGGATCCACATTCAGAGAATGACTCCACTAATAGCATAGCAGATCCTTTCTATATCTGGTGCTTTATATAATCTGTGGCTCTGTAGCTATCATCAATGAATATAGATGAACTATTCTTTTCTTCTGTATAACATTTCGCCGCTAAATAAAGATAACAAAAATTGGAAGGAAAAAATCCATAAGGACATTTTTGCAAAGAATCCCTAGCTGAAGGACACTGACAAACTGGAACGTGTCCAGAGGAGGGCAACCAAAATGGTCAAAGGCCTGGAAACGATGCCTTATGAGGAACGGCTAAGGGAGCTGGGCATGTTTAGCCTGGAGAAGAGGAGGTTAAGGGGTGATATGATAGCCATGTTCAAATATATAAAAGGATGTCACATAGAGGAGGGAGAAAGGTTGTTTTCTGCTGCTCCAGAGAAGCGGACACGGAGCAATGGATCCAAACTACAAGAAAGAAGATTCCGCCTAAACATTAGGAAGACCTTCCTGACAGTAAGAGCTGTTCGACAGTGGAATTTGCTGCCAAGGAGTGTGGTGGAGTCTCCGTCTTTGGAGGTCTTTAAGCAGAGGCTTGACAACCATATGTCAGGAGTGCTCTGATGCTGTTTCCTGCTTGGCAGGGGGTTGGACTCGATGGCCCTTGTGGTCTCTTCCAACTCTATGATTCTATGATTCTATTATTCTATTATTTCAAAAGTCCTTTCTGGTCCAGCCTTCTTTCTCCAGTAGTAGCATCTAGGAAGCTCACAAGCAGAGCTATTATTATTATTATTCAACTGTTCACTTCTAGGAACTGATTTTCTGAAGTATATTTTCTCTGAATATGGGAGATTCCGTTTTGCTATCAATGCAAAAAGCCATTGATGTGCTGCAACCCTAGACTCACCTCCCTGGGAGTAATTCCCAATGAACTCAGTAGAACTTCTAAGTGGACATGTGAGAAATTGTGCTATCATCTTCCTTGAGTTTGCCTCATTCTCTTGGAAAGCCAT